CTGGGATTACAGGTGTGAGCCACCACACCCAGTCAGGAATTCTTTTTAAATTAATAGATTCTTCTTTTTCGAAGAGCTTTAGATTTACAGAAGAATTGTATAGTGTTCCCATATACTGCCCCCTTATCCCAACACGTACATAGATAGTCCTCTCATTAACATCACAAATTAGTGTGCCACACTTGTTACAATTAATGACTCAATATGAATATATTATTATTAAAGCCCATAGTATACATTCAGGTTCACCCTTTGTGATGTACAGTTCTATGGCTTTTGACAAATGCATAATGTCACGTATCCATATCCCACAGAACAGTTTCACTGCCCTGAAAATCCTCTGTGCTCTGCCTCTTCACCTCTGTCCTCCCAAACCCCTGGCAACTCCTGATCTTTCTACTGTCATCATAGTTTTGCTCATTCTAGAATGTCATATAGCTGGAATTATAGAGTATATAGCCTTGTCAGATTGACTTCATTTATGCCTTTCTGTTCTTCTGTGTCGTTTTGTGATTTGATAGCTTATTTCTTATACTATTGCTAAACAGTATGCCACTGTATGTCTGTATCACAGTTCGTTTATACTTTCACCTGTTGAGGAAACTTTTGGTTGCTTCCAGTTTGGGGCAATGATGAATAAGGCTGCTATAAACATTTGCTTGCAGGTTTCTGAGTGAACATAAGTTTTCAGCTCTATTGGGTAAATACTTAGGAGTACAATTGCTGGATGGAATGGTAACACTATATTTAGTTTTGTAAGAAACTGTCAAATGGGAGCAGGGTGTGGTGGCAAGCACCTGTAGTCCCAGCTATTCAGGAGGCTGAGGCAGGAGGGATTTCTTGAGCCTAGGAGTTCAAGACTGGAGTATGCTATGATGACACTTGTGAATAGCCACTGCACACGCCCACAAAAGAAACTGTCAAACTGTCTTCCAAAAGTGGCCATACCATTTTGAATTTCCACTGGCTTTGAAGGAGTCCCTGTTGCATGTCCTTGGCAGCATTTGTGGTGTTAACGTTTTGGATTTTAGCCATCTGTAATAGGTCTGTAATGGTTATTTTGATTTGTAATTTCTTTT